CACTACACGTGCATTACACTACACACCCCGGCGTACAAACGCCAATACACAACCATGCACTACACTCCGTCCAAACACCAATACACAACCATGCACTACTCCCGGCGCCACACACCCCCACCAACGGGACACGCTCCCCGTGTCCCAAGGTAACACTCTCCATAATGCTACCTGCACCCACTAAAAATCTCCATGGACCTCTCCAGGGTACACTAGACGGCGAACCCCAGACGTCAAATTATGCGTCGCTTGCTATGCCAAGGCGTCCATAATTCACTGCGCCTATTTTCTGTATCTACACCTGACAACGCCGGAACTCGCACAGTACTTTAGGTAATATTTCATTATCCTTAAAATATTCGATTTACACGTTACATGAAATTTAATTAACTTTAAATTACGTAGTTTTCACGCTTAATTTCACCTTAGCAACGGTTTCTCACTATTTCCGCCTTACCAACGATATAAAACAAGCTCCAAGGTGCGGCTCGCTTGGCCCACACATGGCTTGGCCCGCATGGCCCGCACATGGCCCACGCTGGCCCACATTCACCCGCGCTAGTTTACCTCGCCACTCTGTATAATCCGCACTACGAACACTGTATAATCCGCACTACGAACACTGCACTTGTTTTGGATCCCGATGCTTCAGTGGTCCAGACTTGCCTCTTAGCCGTCTCTCGTTGCGGGAATCTGGAAAGAAAGAAATAAACCCCACATGTGCCCCACAATGGCCTAGTCCCTTTAATTAACTAACTCCTCTGACCTGGTCTCACCTGACCCTTCTTTCCTCCGTCTAGTAACCACCATTCTCACCACAACCCGACGTCTACCATTTCCCGAACATTCCCTCACCAACTAAACCAGAACCACACTTCCTTCATCTCGCACAGTGTTCCAAAACCTGTTTGCGCTGCCACCAAATATGTCGTGTACCAATTCCCTAACATTCCCTCGCCAACCAAACCAGGAACACTATGAGGGGACAGATGGAATGTATATAAAGGCCGTCGGGTTTTGTCATTTAATTACAAAGAAGAGACTCTGACAAATAATAACATATTAACATACTCTATTAGGTCAATACACTTCCAATACCCATAGACCACTTGACCTCCGCGATCACCACCCACACTCGTAACTTCCGCCTAAGTCCCTAATACGGAATGATTACTACAACGCTCCACACCCGGTTAGTCTTACATTCAATACTCACATACTGCAGACTTAACTTGGTCACTAAGATCACATCAGGCTCTCGCATAGCTGTCTGCTACACTTCGCTGCTGCCACAAACGGAGATCCAGAGGACTTGCCAGTTCAACTCCCTCAATCAGACTGCTCCCAGCCAACCATGGCCTCAAACATTTCACCACGCCTCTCAAGGAAGGTATAATCCGATTAACCTTATCCCTAGAGCGGTAACCTTGATCCTAGAAGCCTGACGAAGAATAATTCCTCTTCCAGGAATTATTAATTTGGCTAAACAGCTTCGGTCTTAATCCATTGACCTTTCTTAGATATGTGATCCATAGTCTGTCTACTTAACATGTACTTCCAATCATAATTCGTTAAGTGTTGTAGTAATGATCCTCTAGCTAATAATTCCTACTAACTTGTGGATTACAACACCTAAGTTGACCTACTTTCTGAGATGTTCTCCATCCTACAGCAGCCCTAAGTTAAATGTGTATAACACCCTTCTGAGGTCCATGCTGGTGAAAGTCCTGAACCTGCCATTGGACGACTCTCAGTGGGAGCAAGCAACCCTTCCTGTAAGACTCGGCAGCCTTGGTGTCCACACAGCCACCCAAATTGCTCTACCAGCCTTCCTTTCCTCCTCTCATGCATCGCACGACCTCGTCAGAGATATTTTACCTGCAACCCTGAGAGATTCAGCAGGAATACACGATCCTGCTTTCACTGAATGTTCAAATCAGTGGAATGTTCTTGCAGCCCCAGCAACCATTATAAAGCCAACAAAACAACACAAACAGTCCGGCTGGGACCACCCTCTAGTGGAAAAAGTAGCTGATGCCATGCTCAGCGTCGCAACATCAGACAAGGAGAAAGCCCGCCTCAGAGCAGTGCGTGCCCCCCATGCAGGAGACTTCCTCCTGGCAGTACCCATGTCTGCAATGGGCACGCGCCTAGATCCAGAATCCCTTCGTGTAGCAGTGGCCCTCCGCCTTGGTGCCCAATTCACACTGAATACAAGTGTATTTGCAACAGGGTGGAAGCAGACCAATACGGACTGCATGGGTTGCATTGCGGAAGCACAAAGGGCTGGCATGCAAGACACAACGAGGTCAATGACATCATCAAGAGAAGCCTCGTCTCAGCTGGGTGCCCAGCGGAGAGAGAACCTCGCATCCTAGGGGTCCAAAACCCGGATTTCCCAGCACTTCGCCCTGATGGCATCACCATATACTCATGGAAGGAGGGTAGACAGTTGGTGTGAGACTACACATGTGTATCCACCCTGGCTGACACCTATGTACACTTGGGAGCTGATCAAGCAGGTGGGGCGGCCAACCACAGGGAAACAGCAAAATCACTCAAGTACAGGCGACTGGAAGGTCAATACCTCTTTGTCCCCATAGCGTCTGAGACGCATGGCCCCTGGGGCAAGAGTGCCTTGGGATTTCTCAAGGAATTGGGGTCCAAGCTCATTGACGTCACCAGAGACCCAAGGGCTTCCAGTTTTTTATTTCAGCGTCTCAGTGTGGCGATCCAGAGGGGAAATGCTTGCTGCGTCCTCGGTTCCTGTCCAGAAGCGGAGGAGCTTCAAGAGATCCATAACCTTTAGGCATTTGTCTTGTATGTTTTGTAACCTTTAAATACACAATAAATATATATATATATATATATATATATATATATATATATATATATATATATATATATATATATATATATATATATGTCGTACCTAGTAGCCAGAACGCACTTCTCGGCCTACTATGCAAGGCCCGATTTGCCTAATAAGCCAAGTTTTCCTGAATTAATATATTTTCTCTAATTTTTTTCTTATGAAATGATAAATCTTACCATTTCATTATGTATGAGGTCAATTTTTTTTTATTGGAGATAAAATTAACGTAGATATATGACCAAACCTAACCAACCCTTACCTAACCTAACCTAACCTATCTTTATAGGTTAGGTTAGGTTAGGTAGAAAAAAAGTTAGGTTAGGTTAGGTTAGGTAGGTTAGGTAGTCGAAAAACAATTAATTCATGAAAACTTGGCTTATTAGGCAAATCGGGCCTTGCATAGTAGGCCGAGAAGTGCGTTCTGGCTATTAGGTACGACATATATATATATATATATATATATATATATATATATATATATATATATATATATATATATATATATATATATATATATATATATATATATATATATATATATATATATAAATATGTGAACAAACCTGAATGGTCCCCAAGTCAATATGCAACTGAAAATTCAACACTTCAGAAGGATTCGAACCTAGACAGCCAGGAGCACTATGCACCATGGAGTACCTGGTTCCTTAACCACTAGACAACACGATTCTACAAAAGTCCTGGTAGTCGTGAGTCTATTTATCCAAGATCCGAGAGTGTTCGGTGGCAACTCAGGCATCGAATCACCTCATTGGGTGGAAGCCATATGAGCAACAGAAATGCGAACAAGCTTGAATGGTCCCCAAGCAAATATGCAACTGATAATTCCACACCCCAGACGGATTCGAAGCTAGATAGCCAGGAGCACTATGCACCATGGCATACCTGGTTCTTTATCCACTAGACCTCACGACTCTTCAAAAATATTGGTAGTCGTGAGACTATTAATCGAAGATCCGAGAGCGCTCGGTGGTCAACTTGGGCATAGATATTTCATTGAATCATCTCACTTTGTGGGGCCACGTGAGCAACACAAGTGCAAACAAGCTTCAATGGTCCCCAAGCCAATATGCAACTAAAAACTCCACACCCCAGAAGGATTCGAACCCAGACAATCAGGGGCACTATGAACCATGGCGTACCTGGTTCCTTAACCACTCGACCACTGTGACTGAGCAAAAGTCATTTGTTGCCTAGGCTATATCCCTAACGACTCGACAGCACTTGGTGGTAAGCTTGGGCATATATATTTCATCGAATCCCTTCACTTTGTGAGGCTACGTGAGCAATACAAATACAAACAAGCTTGAATGGTGCCCAAGCCAATATGCAACTGAAAACTCCACATCCCTGAAGGATTCGGCCCAGGAGCACTATACGCGAAGGCGGCCAGGAGCACTATACGCCAAGGCGGCCAGGAGCACTATACGCCAAGGCGTGTCCAGAACTATAACCATTTGGCCAAACTGACTGTTCAACACTATTGGAAGTCGTCTGACCATATGTGAGTGATGTATCACCCACATATGAAACCTTAAAACCCTCACTGGGCTCCAGTTGCAAGCCTCAGGAATTCTAGAGGGTATAGTGAAATCCCAGGTTGCAATTCTTTTGACCGTGTCGTTGTGTAGTCGTCTAAGACGTTTGCTTGGAAGTACCCGGAGCATAGGTTCGAATCCATTTCACGGCTTTTACTGATTTTCTCAATACTAATAGTAATACACAGAGAAATCACATTATCGTGATATATCACTGAGAAAATTCACAGGAGCCGTGATGAAGATTTCATCCTATGCGCTGAGTGTTCCCAGATGCACGCTCCTTTACTATGTTGTGGCGTAGTTGTTTAGAGAGTGCGTCTGGGAATAATAGTAATAATAATAATAGTAATAATAATAATAATAATAATAATAATAATAATAATAATAATAATAATAATAATAATAATAATAATAATAATAATAATAATAATAATAATAATAATAATAATAATAATAATAATAATAATAATAATAATAATAATAATAATAATAATAATAATAATAATAATAATAATAATACCATGCAGGACAATTGAAGACATTAAAAGTAAGGTTTAAATTCTAAGGTTGGTGGAGATGTCTGGACTGTGGCGGCTGCCGGAGACGGTGGTCATAGCCATAGGTGGGAGGACGGGGGTGAGGGCCGTTCTCCTCCACCACAGTCTCCGCAACACTGTCCACGCCGTCTACCTCGCCCTCAACCACAACCTCAACCACGTCCTCCACCACGGCAAATTCTACGCCCCTCTACTACAACAAAGATATTTCCACCTCAAGAATAGTCATGTTGAAGAGTGTGAGTATTTCAAGGAATTTCAAAATAGCCGCCCGTCTAATTACCCACATTTGGTATACCTACAGCTGTGTTCGCCCCTGTATCCCTAGCAACAATTGGAGACCTGGTTGAGAACCGATTGGTGAGGCGTGTTCCAGGGAAAACTAATAGGGTTAATATGGCCTATGGGAGTGGAGAGATGTTAGCCTGTAAGTAAGAGTCGTAAGTAGTAGACATCCTGAGGACCAAAAACAAAATGGATAATCACAGCATATTATAGTGTAAGGCGTCTTCTTGGGACAATAAGAAAGAACAATTATTCAGGAGACACTTTGTGAATACGGAGAATAAGTCACAATAAGGTAGCTGAACACAAATATTCCAACCCATATGTACAAATGGAAGAGACAACGTTTCGGTCCTTCAAGAGCCCAGCTACTTGGGCTACCTACCTACCTTGAGGCTACCTTGAGGTGCTTCCGGGGCTTAGTGTCCCCGCGGCCCGGTCGTCGACCAGGCCTCCTGGTTGCTGGACTGATCAACCAGGCTGTTAGACGCGGCTGCTCGCAGCCTGACGTATGAGTCACAGCCTGGTTGATCAGGTATCCTTTGGACGATAGAGCGACGATAGGGCTGGACGATAGAGCGACGGACTCGCTTCATGCAGGTCGGCGTTCAATCCCCGACCAGTTGTGGTTGGACACCATTCCGTCCCATCTCAAATCCTTTTCCTGACCCCTTCCAAGTGCTATATAGTCGTAATGGTTTGGCGTTTTCTCCTCATAGGTCCCTTCCCCCTTCCCCCTTCTGTCCTTCAGGCACTTTCATCAAGTCGACTTAAAAATGGTCCTGAACAACACATCAGGACCTACACACATAGCCATGTGTGTAGGTTTGGTTACTTTATATATGCACACAACCCATTATTAAGCATAAATGTTCCTAATTAGCAACCTAAAGATGACAGGGTTAACTTTTAAGCTATTTATCCTGGTAACATGACTAATTTAAGGGTCAGTAATATATTTCAGAAGTTATTATGACGATGGTCATTTTAACCATCAAACCCCCCCCCCCAAAAAAAAAAAAGAGGCCAATGATGATCATTCTGAATATCGGAATACTTTGCAATCTGTGAACGGGTTGACCTACAAACTTGTGTGATATATCAATGTCGACTAGTTTGGAGTTGGGAAACTCATTTCTAATATTAGTTTTGTAATAGGAGGCTATTCACAATAATACCTAAAAGTGATATCCAAGATCTGTTTTGTACGTCTGTATGTCTAAAGTTGGAGGCTACCTCCTCAAACTCAGCAGGGTGACAAATGAGAGGTAGGGGTCGCCATTGCCCGCCCTTTAAGGAAAGTTGGCTTCCACTGCGACCCCTATGAAGTCGGTGAGTATGAAATGCTTGGCACTGAGTCAATAGAGTTTCATTATCTGTTTATAATATTTTAGAATGCAAAACGAATGTTCTGAAGGCAGATTTGCATTCTTGGGGGGAGGCTACCAACTCTCAAGTTGTGCAACCTCTTGAGATCGATCTGGGCACCACCGGCGACACCCCCCCTCACCCCCTTCCCCCTCAAGTTGGGGGAAATATAATAATAGCATTGTGCACCAAACTTGTCCTGGAGTATATTTTAACATTTGAATTCATTAAATCAAAATATTAGAAAGAATTATTTTTGAAGTGGAAATTTCATGTTACATTATTCATTACAGTGAGGGTATAGTTGAATTATACTGGCCAATAAGGAAACACGGGACTGGAACTTGTATTTTAAGTTTGATACAAATTAAACAGTTATAGGTCCTGTATTATCTGTGAAATTACGTAACCAATTCAAGAATGTTGGAGCAGACTATCAAGGTCTCCTGGACAATATCTCAAAGCTCAGTGAATTAGATAACTAGCCCAACGTTGTAGTACAAGACAACGCTGGTGGCAGGTGGTGACGGGACGTATGGAAACATACTCTGTAATGTGGCACAAATTGCCGAAGTTGTCAATAACTTTTAGGATGGAGTGTGCTAGTATCAGGTAAGGAGGAGAAAGCGCCCTGGAAGACCAATGGAGACACCACAAGTATTATTCTGCAATAATTCACCCTTTGTGAACAAAATTGAGACAGGAACTGAAGAAAAATTTCACATTTTTTACCTAAACAACAGTCAGTGATGCTGCAAAGTATATGTGTGTTGTGAGCCTTCAGACCTATAACTGTCATAAGCAGACGTGATTATGAGAGATGATCTCTCTCTCTCTCTCTCTCTCTCTCTCTCTCTCTCTCTCTCTCTCTCTCTCTCTCTCTCTCTCTCTCTCCTCTCTCTCTCTCTCTCTCTTCTCTCTCTCTCTCTCTCTCTCTCTCTCTCTCTCTCTCTCTCTCTCTCTCTCTTCTCTCTCTCTCTCTCTCTCTCTCTCTCTCTCTCTCTCTCTCTCTCCTCTCTCTTCTCTCTCTCTCTCTCTCTCCCTCTCTCTCTCTCTCTCTCTCTCTCTCTCTCTCTCTCTCTCTCTCTCTCTCTCTCTCTCCTCTCTCTCTCTCTCTCTCTCTCTCCTCTCTCTCTCTCTCTCTCTCTCTCTCTCTCCCTCCCTCTCTCTCTCTCTCTCTCTCTCTCTCCCTCTCTCTCTCTCTCTCTCTCTCTCTCTCTCTCTCTATCTCTCTCTCTCTCTCTCTCTCTCTCTCTCTCTCTCTCTCTCTCCCTCTCTCTCTCTCTCTCTCTCTCTCTCTCTCTCTCTCTCTCTCTCTCTCTCTCTCTCTCTCTCTCTCTCTCTCTCTCTCTCTCTCTCTCTCTCTCTCTCTCTCTCTCTCTCTCTCTCTCTCTCTCTCTCTCTCTCTCTCTCTCTCTCTCTCTCTCTCTCTCTCCTATTCCAGCAACCAGACCGCGGTCACCATCGGCAACATAAGAGGAATGTATGAAGGTATCAAACAGGCAATAGCCCTACACAAAACACAACGACCAATCTGAAGTCAGCCACCAGGACAGTCGTTAAAGACTGATCAACAGATAATTCGTTGGGTGGAGCATTACTCTGAACTCTACTCCAGAGAGAACTTGGTCAGCGTAGAGGCCCTAGATGCAGTGGAATGCCCCGCCCACCATGGAAGTTTTGACCTTTAACCGACTGTGGAAGAAGTTGGAAAAGCAATGGACTCACTTTCCTCAGGGAAGGGCCAAGGAGATGACGGCATTTACCTGAAGTTCTTAAGTGCGTTCGAGGAATACTTAAAACTGAGCTTCATGAACTTCTGTACCAGTGCTGGAGGGAGGGCTCGTTGCTACAGGATATGAGAGTGGCGAACATCATCAATATTTACAAAATATAGCTGACAGAAGCGATTGCAACAACTATCGCAGCATCTCCCTCCTGAGCGTCGCCGGCAAACTCTTCGCCAGAGTCGTCTTGGTCAGGTTCCAGATTCTTGCTGAAAGACAGTACCCAGAGTCACAGTGCGGTTTCATAGCCAAGAGGCCAACCACTGACATGGTGTTCTCCCTGAGAAAACTTCAAGAAAAGTGCAGAGAGCAGAGAAAATCCTGTACATCGCTTTCATTGACCCTACAAAGGCCTTCGACCTCGTGAGCAGGGGACAGACTCTTCAAGATCTTAGCCAAAATTGGCTGCCCACCCACCCTACTCAGCATGATACAATCGTTCAATGAAGACATGAAGGGCACGGTCCTGTACGACGGCTCAACTTCTGAACCATTCAACATCAACAGTGGTGTTAAAAAGGGATGCATCCGTGCTCCAACCCAGTTCGATATCATCCTTACGATCCTCATCAAGCATGACTTTGGAACAACCACAGAGAGCATCTATCTCCGTACAAGATCTGATGGAAAGCTCTTCAATCTATCTAGATTCCTAGCAAAGACGAAAGTACAGATGAGAATCCTCTTTGCCGAGAATGCAGCGATCACTACATACACAGCAGAAGGCCTGCAGCAGCTACTTAACTGCTTTGCCGCAGCCTGCTCCGCATTCGGCCTGACAATCAACCTGAATCAGACACAAGTGATGGGACAAGACATCAATGAGTTACCCCTGTATAAACATCATAGACTGCATGGTGGAGGCAGTTCATGAGTTTGTGTACAATCTCAAACTTCAATCTCAAACACCCTTTTCCTGGACACTAAGCTCAACAGACGTATCAGGAAGGCCGCAACAACACTGACCAGGCTCACAAAGGCGCATTTGGGCAAATGTCAAACTGACAGTACACACCAAGGCACAAGTCTACATGGCATGTTTGGTGAGTACACTTCTCTACGGCTCGGAATCCTGGACCCTACGCTCTCGCCCAGGAAAGACGGCTCAGTACCTTTCACATGCATAACCTGATACGCATCCTTGGCAACACGTGGAGAGACCACGTCACCAACAACCCAGTGTACGATAGAACTGGAATCCTTTCAATGTTCATTCTCCTGAAGTAGAGACACATGCGATGGCTGGGACATGTCACATGCATGGAAGATGGCCGCACACCAAAGGACCTCTTATATGGAGAACTGGCATAAGGAAAGAGGCCCACCGGAAGACCCCAGCTGGGCCTCAAGGAAGCCTGTAAACGCGACTTCAAATCGCTGGACATCGACATTAACACTTGGGAGGAACCAGATGCGGACAGATTTGCCTGGAGATGCAAAGTACGGAAAGGATTCCAGCAATTCGAGGGCGAACGGAAGAGGCTGGTTGAGAAAAAGAGACTTTGAAGGAACTCTCGACCACTGACAGATGCAACCCCTTCGGCGTTTATTTGCACTCGATGGGGTTGGATCTACCATTCTCGGGTTGGACTCAACAGGCCCAGCCGACGTTGCTCCCAACCAGACACCTAGGCCACAAATTCATAATCCCACGAGATTGATGGACGCCTACTATATACACCTCATGGTTGTCATCATAGTCATGGTCATGCAACTCTCGTATCTCGTGTCTGTCATTACAGACATGGTCATTCTACTCTTTAATATCATCGTCGTCATTATTCCACTTGCTTCTCATGAGAAGATAGCGGCCATAAGGTAAGGGCTTCTCTCCTGATAGTTCTGGAGAACTATCAACAGAAAACACAAGCCATTCCAACTGTGCAGCACTTGGAAAGGATATGAGGATAAGGATTTGGGATAGAACAGAGGACAGGAATTGTGCCATCCACTTGGATGGTCGGTGATTGAACGCCGACCTGAAAGATGCGAGACCATCACTTTACCGTCCAGTCCAAGTGGGTTGATGTGGCGGCCAGAAGCCTTCATAGATTAGGGAGTTAAAATGACTGCATATTATCAAAATAACTTCTAGTCTGGATTGCTGACCCTAAAATTAGCCATATTTCTAAGTTAAATTATTTATAAGTTAACTGCTAGCTTTCGAATGCTAATGAGCATAAACTATGTTAATTAAAGTTTCTGTACGTTGTGACAAAGTGTTTATTTGGAAGAAAAATTATATTTTCTCAAGTAGTACTTAAGTGGGACATATACACTATGAAATGATGAAACTACTAACTAATTAAGTAACCCAAAGTCGTCTGCCCCTGTATAACCAAAATCACTAATTAATTAAACAAAAAAATGTAAATAGTTTTCAGAGAACATACAAATTTACAATACAAACACATGAAGTAAATATATACTTGCATTTATTATATATTTTTTGTTGTTTCTGTGAATATTTGTGTGTGCTCGAACAACAAGAAGCCTATCGAAGTTGAAGACCCGCAGTGGGCAAGACATGGATGAGCAAAGTTGTATGGACGCTGAATCCACATCTTCTACCTAACATGTGCCGACTTGGTCAAAGATCCTCCAATACCGTTTCCTTTAATACCACCGGACAGCACCGGCGAGCGACGGCGTCCAGGTGTACCGTCGGTGTCTGTACTGCGGCAACGGGGAGGCGGACGTTCAGCTGGTGACCCAAGACTTGGACGTCGTCTCCAGTATTCCACAACTTAACGGTCTTTTCCCGGGCAAGTGTTTCCTCAAATACAGTACATCATGAATTTCTGAGAGTCAGTGATGCAACTTTATTTGCATATATATTTTTCACAGACCTAAACGTAGCTCCCTACAGTTTCCTGTACCTTCCTACAGCTTCATGTAACTTCACACAGCTTCATGTAACTTCACACAGCTTCATGTAGCTTCACACAGGTTCATGTGACTTCACATAGCTTCATGTAGCTTCACACAGCTTCATGTAGCTGCACAGAGCTTCACGTAGATACACACAGTTTTCCTAAAGCTCCATCCAACTTCCTGTAGCTTCACACAATTTCGTCTAGATTCATATCGCATAGGGGTATCTTCACACACAACTTCAAATTGCTTCGCACAGCTTCAGACAGCTTTACACAGCTTCACATAACTTTTCACTGATTAAGATAGCTTTACACAGCTTCATATAGCTTTACACAGCTTCATATAGCTTTACACAGCTTCATATAGCTTTACACAGCTTCAGATAGCTTTACACAGCTTCAGATAGCTTTACAGTATCATATAGCTTTACACAGCTTCATATAGCTTTACACAGCTTCATATAGCTTTACGCAGCTTCATATAGCTTTACACAGCTTCATATAGCTTTACACAGCTTCAGATAGCTTTACACAGCTTCATATAGCTTTACACAGTTTCAGATAACTTTAAACTGCTTCAGATAGCTTTACACAGCTTCGGATAACTTTACACAGCTTCGGATAACTTTACACAGCTTCAGATAGCTTTACACAGCTTCAGATAGCTTTACACAGCTTCGGATAACTTTACACAGCTTCATATAGCTTGACACAGCATCAGTTAGTGTTACAAAACTACAGGAGCTTCCTGCATGAGGAAAGCCTAGGTTCAGTATATTGGTGAAAAAATAGGGATTAGTATGAGGTCTGTTATTATGTAAATAATCTCTATATTAAGCTAAAGTTTAGGTACTGTTGTCTATGCAGTTATTTCTCTGAAGATGAGATTTTCGCCAAAGAGCCCACATCAACATCATTCTGGTTAATTCAGACGGCAGTATTTGTACTACAAAACTATATGAGGGATGGTATGGGTCTCCTCCGACTGGCTACACTTAGCCATGTGATCAATCCACACAATTGCTCTAGAGGTTTCAAATATCCAAAGAAGAGTGAATGACAGTGACTATTTCTCTATCTCACAGACCAGTTCAAGGATTTCATGGGTCATAACTTCCATGTAGTGTCGGTACCGTACTTCCCTTACGTAGACTACCAGGATACTAATGTGTCGGGAGGCACGATAACCCTGGTCGACTCTCTGGACGCCCGCCTACTGGACACTTTCTCTCCCAAATTGAACTTCACGTAAGAACTGTTGCATCTTGCTCCTCCTTCGCCTGAGAATGGTTCATGTGTTCACTGAACATCTTTTATGTCAATTTTTTCAGAAATATTCGTTTATCATAAAACAATAATTGATGGCATTTGCCTTTAATGATTCTGACACTTGACTCACGCAAAGTTACCCCACACATATAAGAAAGTATTACGCGCAAACACACACACACACACACACACACACACACACACACACACACACACACACACACACACACACACACATACACACACACACACACACACACACACACACACACACACACACATATATATATATATATATATATATATATATATATATATATATATATATATATATATATATATATATATATATATATATATATATATATATATATATATATATATATATATGTCGTACCTAGTAGCCAGAACGCACTTCTCAGCCTACTATGCAAGGCCCGATTTGCCTAATAAGCCAAGTTTCCTGAATTAATATATTTTCTCTAATTTTTTTCTTATGAAATGATAAAGCTACTCATTTCATTATGTATGAGGTCAATTTTTTTTTATTGGAGTTAAAATTAACGTTGTCGGAAAATCCGACAGCATTTAATATATCATACATACAGATAATAGCTGTATTACCAACAAGTTACCCATAGAAAACGTAACTTGTAGTGGAATTACCGTCTATAGAAAACGGGATATCATCACCACATACTATTATAATTCACCAGCTATTCTGCTGGGAATTGTTCTTAAATACATTAGTCTTTGGACTTTACCATCATAAAAACATCTTATATAAATTAACTTAATTATCAATATTAAAGTAGAGTAAATGTGACCCTTCTATCACGTTCTGAAATCTGGACAAAGTAGGCCAGGCGTCAGTGGGGAAGGAGGGCAGCCATTGTTGTGTCACCTCCGAGACGTGTGGAGCAAACGGCTCCTATCATTCTGGACAATGTCGGCCAGTAACGTCAATAGTTGGAGTGTTAAACAGCCGTTGTTGTGTCACCTCCGAGACGTGTGGAGCAAACGGCTCCTATCATTCTGGACAATGTCGGCCAGTAACGTCAATAGGATGGAGTGTTAAACAGCCATTGTGTTTATATTGAGACCAGAGGCTCACACGGGAGCAAATTCGGCTCCTGTTAATTTTACTTGGACGTAGTGTTATGGAAACCAAAGGTACCATCTTCAACACGATGTCTACAATTCAAGTTAAGTCTATCCGAAACCCGTTTATCATTCATTTATGGCCATTAATGTCAGGATATAGGGTGACCCGGTTAGATCGCGAAATCGCCTCAAACTAAAGGTAATTAAGCCAGGTCTTCATGTTCCATGTACCATGTAGTGTTTTCTCTGATATAGCTTGTCATATATAGGATTCTGGCTTCACAGCTAGCGCACTTTTGACAGGTCAAGACGAGGATGCAAGATTATGTGCACCAGTTACTGGGTGATAGAAGCTACCTCAAAGAGGATAATTTGGTGTCTACACTCTAGTTATACCTGGTGGACTAACCTGCTGTACTATAAGAGAAGGAACCTCATCAATGTATGTAGCTATTACTGTAATTTGATTGGCTGCATATGTGTAATATAAACCCCCCCTAATGTGTAGAGGATCGATTTGTGAGATTGAGATTATTGCAGAAATACAGTCCACTTATCATTATACAAATTGCTATCGAAGTATATAAATTAACGTAAATATAAATTCATATAAATTAAATAAATATAAATCTCACAGGTCGGTTCCCACATTATTTGGTCATCTTCGAACCGGATGACGGATTATTTGATCCTTTGAACCCACATTTGGTCATCTTAGTACCGGATGAACCAGTTATCCAGTGGATTCATTAAATATACTAGTGCAGTGTTATTTAAACAAAGCCAGCAGTCAAGACGGCAGCGTAGCCTCGAGGGAGCTCAGGAGCCTCCCTCAGCCCAGTTCAGCTTCGTCAGCGGTTTCATGCACACCCACAGATATTTGGTGGCGTGTTATTTCGTGAAATGACAGCGCTAATATAGAATCCAGCCAAATTAGTGACTGTGTCTTCGCGAGATTGTTCACGGATTTCGTGGTGTTACATTTCGCGAGAGATTATCTACGAATTTTGTGGAGTTTATTTCGCGAGGTCACTAATAATATTTAATACTTCTAGATAATATTAGAAGTTTCATAGAGGCTAATTAAGAGGCTATTATCAATAATTGTGTATATTATTTCTCCAAATAGAGAATTATTTAATATATATTGCACTAGTGATCACAGTATAATATTTACTAATTGCCAACCCACAACAGGGTAGGATAAAACCATTGACTAGTTGAACTATTATCGTTCATCCTAGTCCCATTATTACTATAGTCAGTTGTACTATATTGAACAACCTAACACCATTAATGAATGGTCCAGACCCTATTTTGGGTGTAATTTTTATCAACTCGAGTTGAGTTGTATATATAATAATTTACTTATGATCATTACACCTTTGAGTGATTAATTAGTGTCTCTACCATCCTAGGGTGATATAGAAGAGCTAACCTAAAGGTACTTCCAGTGACACTGGTTTATCACTCAAATCATTAGTGTGTATGATTGTATATATATAAATGTGTATTAATTTTAAGTGCTAACCTCTAGTAGAGGTAGGATTATTGCCTAGTGAGTTCAGAATTTACCCTAGGCTACCATTAGTGTTTGTTCAGTATTATGAGCAGCCCAAGTACAAGCCCCACAAGGCTTCACCAACGAGCCAGTATGGATAATGCAGGGAGAATGAAAAGAACCCTTGCAGGTCTTAAAGGCCACTTAACAAGACAGATCAAGAAATGTGAAGATTTGTCACAACAATCAACAGTTGATTATGCTGACCTGGAAAGCTATTATCAAGCAGCTGCAGGTAAATTTGAGCAAATTAAATGTCAAATAGCAACATATGTGGCTGAACTTGCCAACACTAATTTATCAGAAACAGAAATAGACGACATTATGGTTGATCTTGCGAATTATGAAGATCACACTCAGGCCACGTTACAGCCTTATGTCAAATTAATTGCCCAGAACAAGGCAACAGCAACAACAACAACAGTTGCATCTAATACGAGTCAAGCAGAAGCTCGACTCCCTCCAATTAATTTACCCACTTTCTCAGGAAAAGATGAGGAAGATTGGGACGAATTTTGGAACAAATTCGTTGACCTTGTAGACTCAAAACAATCTTTACCAAAGAGTAGTAAATTCTCTTATTTGCAAGGCCAATTATCAGGTGAGGCTAAAACAGTAGTATCCCATCTGAGATTAACTAATGACGGCTATGATCTGGCAGTAAAACTCCTCAAGGATAATTATGCTGATCCAGAAGTAAGAACATCACATTTAGTTCATGAGCTGTTGCATTTACCCCCACCGGAGGCTTCAGCTGATTCACTCCAAGTCTTCAAGCTGGAGGTAGAATCATTGATCAATGCCCTCAGCCTGACAGCAGATACAAACGGGGCTGAGTGGGTCTTGAAAATAATTGTCCAGGAGAAAATACCTAGGGACATATTGAGGCAAATGAGTGCTCATTACAATAAAAGTATTTATCCATGAATGAAATATCTGAAGGTTTAAAGTCAGTAGTTCATCAATTACGAACACATGACAAATTAAAACCACCAAGTAAACCCTCAGAAACTAATAATAGTAAACCACAGAGTACCAAAGGTACACCAAATCAATCTAGACAATATAATTCAACACCAAAGTGGAACAGTGGCAGTGTGGGCGTATATGCAGTGGGACCCTCCAAGCCTATAGTTACTGTGTCACCCAAGAACGTGACACCAAAGGGTACTGGAAGCTATGGAACATGTTTGTTCTGCAATGAGAAACATTCAATGTACCACTGCCCTAATTTTCCTGATAGTGACGCCCGTGTTGAGCGACTCAAAGATTTGCAACATTGCACGAGGTGCCTCAGGAAACATAACATCAACGACTGTGATACCCAATTACACACCTGTAATAGGTGTAACAAAGGTCAACACCATGCAGCATTGTGCAGAGACACCAAAACAACGTCTCCAAAACCCAAGGTGGAAGATAGCATTCCCACCACAGTACAGTACTGCAAGGTGCAACAAACAAACAGTGTCCAATCGGCAAAGTCTAAAGGTAATACGACTTTGCCTACTGCCCAAATTACCATCCTGAATAAGAGGGCCAAGGTCCATACCCGTGGGTTGTTTGACCAAGGATCCCAGAGAACATATATCACTAAAAAGCTGGCAGATGAACTACAATTAAGGCCTGTAGCCCAGATGTCATTCAACATCTCAGGGTTTGTAACAGATGCAGGACCTCAAGTCTACCAGGTGGTACAACCATCAGTACGTTTAGGCAGGTACGTCTGTCGAGTACAAGCCATTGTGGTGGACAAAATACCAGTAGACCTACAAGTTCAAGGTCTGAGAGCAACAGCCAAATTCCTGAGAAATAGAGGAATAAAATTGGCAGATAATATTAAGTCTGATCACCTCACTGACTTCGGTCTCCTTGTAGGGACAGACTATTGCCATCGATTCATCGGTAGCCCTACTAAATATCAGGGTATAACCATGTTAAACTCTGCAGGAGGTAAATTACTCTCAGGCCCAGTATCAAGCCTGAGGAGACCTATGCCTGCAGATAAACAATACCAGTAGAGATCTAAATTTGTCAGCTGATTATATTTCTCCAGTAGCATTATACTAAGGAGATTACAGCTGACTATAGTAACAGAGGTTGATGTTAGTATCATCATTTGAAGCTGAAGATGAGTTCATGAGGCTTCAGTGGCAAATCAGTGAACAGTAGCCTAAAACAGCTACAAGTCACTGCGACCAATGTCACTGAACCCACTGCAGTCTCAGAACCATACTTTACTTTAATGATGAGCTATTCAATCCTCTGAATCAATTAACTAAATTAAACCCCAATAAATCTGATGACTGATTTG